CGGCCACCGGGGGCCCACGCCCACCCCCAGGGGCCTGGGGGGCCGGGGGAGCCGCAGCGGCGGCTGGCGCCACAGGGATCCCTGGCACGCCTGCCCCGGTGTGGAGCTGCTGTTTACTTTGCCTGTTGCCCAATGTGTACTTACGCTCTGTGCTTACAAACATGGGAGATGAACCGGGACGGGAGAAGGGCACCGAAGGAGGGGAGAGGCAAGGCAAGGGAAGCCGTGCCTCCTGCCGCCACAGTCGGCAGCGGACAGGAGCCCCTTCTCCAGCCAGGACGGGCCTATCTGGGCATGGAGCTGGGAGCAACCGGGATGGGAAGCCTGCCTCTGCAGGCCCAAGGGGAGACCGGACGAGATGCCCCTAGACGCTGTGTGAGGGACCCCAGCTAACGGACAGACTGTATGGAGGAAAGCCAGGGAGAGCAGAGCCCCAGGCCCAGCACCTCCGCAGCCAGTGACTGACCAGGCAGCGCCGGGCAGCAGTGCCGAGCACCGTGCTGCCTGTCACCATCAGGAGCTCAGCTCTGCCCTCCCTCCGGAGCACAACATGGTGACACCGGTGTGACTCATCTCCAAAATAGAAAGGAAACAGGCAGAGGGACCAGGAAAAGGGGCACGCCATCACTTCCAGCACGCACCCAGGGACCTGCACACCGGGACGCCTGAGGACAGCTCGCACTGTGTTGGAGGGCAAGCACAAGAAGTTGGGAAGGCAGGTGGGGAGCAGAGCATGGAGCAACCCACCCAGCACAAAGGAGCCCATGACACGATGGCGCCGGTGTGACCTCCATGCTTGGAGCTCCACAGGGACTCTGAAATATCTGGTCATGTTTCAGAGACAGCAGGAAAGGTGAGAGCCAGCAGAGCCCAGAGGAGCCCCATCCCCCTCCGGCAAGGAGCAGCCCCAGCGAGCAGGGAGCCTGCAGCGCTGCCAGGGGAGGAGAGCAGCTCCTGGCAGCCGCCTGAGACCCCGCTGCAGGCTGCAGCGCAGACAGTGCTGCGATTCAGGCATGCTGCGGCTCCCCCTCAGCAACCAGACCTCGGCCGGCTGTGGGCTCGGCTGCCCTGCTGAGGCACCCGGAGCCGCGAGCACCCACCAGAGGCTGGATCAGAGCCCTGGGTCCCAGATTGTGCCAGGGCCCAAATCACAGTTTCCAGTGGGAGAGGCTCCCGGAGCCCCCAGGGAAGGGAAAAAGCTACCACAGAATGGAGAAAGCAGCAAGCACAGCACAAGGGGACACTGTCTGCCACAGCCCGTCTGCGTGCCAGCACCTCGCCCCCTCCACAGGACCCTGAGCCGGGCAGTCTCCTCCACCTTGCTAGTCCCAGAGCCAGCAGCCACCCCGCTCCCCAGCGGTGACCACTCCACGTGGGGACAATGCTGCGACGGGCCCCCTCCACGGGGCGCAGAGCCCGGCCCTCCACAGCCCCGG